TAAATATTTTTCGACCTTAGATGAACACAGTGCCTCGTCAATCAGGAATAGACAGATGATTAAGATTATCACTCCTCTTAGCATGATGTCTAGTAAAGGAAACAAATAAAATATAAAAATTAATCTGTTAGTAATTCCTTCACCTCTAAAGAAGTGGGCAGTTGCTGGCATGAAAAAAATTAGCATCAGTGGGAATGGTTCATATAGCGGTTTTTACCCATTCTCGCCTTTGCACCTTCGCACTTTCTTCACCTTAGACTTTTTTAAAAATTTCCCAAGGATGTTATTGCTATGCATACGCTGCAGAGGCAATATTTTAGTATTGTTCCTTCGACCACGCATCTTCGTGCATTGCCGTTACATCTTCGTACATTAATTTGCTCCTTCGTATCTTCGTCCTACACGCGAGCTCGAGGGTGCAAAGGTGCGAGTGGCCTCAACAAAATACCATAAAAGGGGTCTTACAATAAAAAAGTGTTACAAAGTAATTATAATGCATGTGTATTGTTTTTGTCTTCTTTTAATTAAAAAAAAAAATCAAGACTTAGGAAAGGATCGAGAAGAAAATTTACACACTTATTTTTTTCTAACAAAAAAAATTTTCAAACATATTTCTGAACATTAGATGTTTAAGCCATATTATAGGGAAAAAAACACTATTTCTAGAATGCAACAGAATCTAGCAAAACAGTACTCCTTTGTGAAAATTTTTGACATATGGGAAATATTATCCTTACCATCCCAATCCCTATCCAGAATTCTAATAATAGCTCTGGAATTTAACAGGATCTTACGTCTGGTCTTAGTCCACTGACCATTTTGTTTATTACGGTTGCCTAAAAGTTTGAACAACTTTTTCGACTTTTTGTTTACCCTGTCCACATTTTTTTGAATAAAGTTTCAAAGACAAAGTTGATTTCTGTTAACTGAATAAACTCCGACCAAGGTTCCCAAAAATATTTGAGTAAACGATTTAGGTTTGCCATGTGAGCATAATTCAATTTGTGCAAAATGTGGTGAAGAAGGTGCTGGTGTAACGACGAAAAGTGGATATGATTTTTGCGTCGCCAAAAAAATATTTATTGGAAGACATTTTGATTAAATTAATTTTTTTAACCTTAAACAAAAAAGTTTTAAGTAATTCACATCTGTGATTCACTTTAAACAAATAACAGTAAAACCCGTACCTTCTTCCTATGAATGACTCTCCTCTTAGGTCTAGCAGAGAATTGAATTCTTGGACTGCAAAAAATCTTTATATAGTCAGTTTTTAATCTCATTTATGGCTTATACGTTTACCACTGACACAGCGAGATTGGTTTACAGATAAATTTTTTTCGTATATTGATTTATAATTTATAAAACGGTCAACAACACTTATTTTTATTTATTTTTTTCATATATATAAATGCTTTTTTCTTTTAGAAATCTTGTGAAGAGAAAAAAACAACAGATTTCTTATTCAAAGAGTATAGGGGATATATTATATTTCAAGTACTAGTACAGTAATACTAAGTATATGGTGTCATTTCTTAAAACACCAACCCCCAGCCCCGACACCCACCCATCCCTGCTCCAAATTCTTTCTTTAGTGCACTAAGTTAATTAACAGTATTTATGCTGAAGATGAAAGAAAATTAAGTAACACGGTTGAAATGTGTCAAAAACAAAAGGCAAAAACAAGCAAGACAAAAAACCGACAATGTTAGGTCACTCAGTAAACTTCAGCTGATCCCTGCATTTTATTTTTATTATTATTATTATTTTTTTTTTTTTATTATTTTATTTTATTTTTCAAATCATAACCCACCTCCAAAATTAAGAAGACCGGGTGGTTGTGGCCATTTTCAGATTTTATATTGATCTTCTTTAAAAGACGAGCTCTAAAGATTTATAACAAGAGGCCCATGGGCCACATCGCTCATCTGAGCACTGTGGCTAGGAAAAAGTAGGAATTGGTTTATTATTGAAAAGTTTAAATCCAAAAGTAGTTCAATGACCAATCATGGCTTTGCCATTCTTGAAAAGAAGATTTTTAAAGAATTTTCCTATATATTTCTATGTAAAACTTTGGTCGGCCATTTTGGCCCCGCCCTACCCCCAGGGTTCATGATTTGAACAAACTTGGATCCACACTACCTGAGGATGCTTCCATATAAATATGATCAATTATGGCTTTGCTATTCTTGAGAAGAAGATTTTTAAAGAATTTTCCTATATATTTCTATGTTAAACTTTGGTAGGCCATTGTAGCCCCGCCCTACCCCCGGGGGTCATGATTTGAACAAACTTGAATCTACACTACCTGAGGATGCTTCTATATAAATATGATCAATTATGACATTGTTATTCTTGAGAAGATTTTTAAACAATTTTCCTATATAATTCTATGTAAAAATTTGGTCGGCCATTGTGGCCCCGTCCTACCCCCGGGGGTCATGATTTGAACAAACTTGAATCATTGTTATTCTTGAGAAGATTTTTACTATACACTACCTGAGAATGTTTCCCCATAAGTTTCATCTTTCCTGGCACAGTTGTTCTTGAGAAGAAGATTTTTGTAACATGCCAACAAATTTTCATTAATTCCCAATTATCTCCCCTTGAATGAGGGCGTGGCCCTTCATTTGAATAAACTTGAATCCCCTTCACCCAAGGATGCTTTGTGGCAAGTTTGGTTGAAATTCGCCCAGCGGTTCTTGAGAAGAGGTCGAAAATGTGGAAAGTTTACAGACAGACAGATGGACGGACAGACAGACGGACTGACAGACGGACGCCGGACAAAATGTGATCAGAAAAGCTCACTTGAGCCTTCGGCTCAGGTGAGCTAAAAATGATCAAACTTTAAAACTAAATCTAAACTGTATAAAATATTTCTTTGCCAAATCATAGTTGACATATCTACATAAGTACACAAAATTACTACAAATTAATTAAAGTTATATCTGACGGTTTATTTGTTGACCCCCCTTCCCCAGCCTCCCTCAGTTCGGGTCGTTAATGCTAGCCGATTTTTTCTACATGTATAAAAATGTATAATATGTCCGTGACTCAGTTCACGCTATCTTCCTCCACAAACCTATGTTGCTTTTGATAAAGTATTGAATACATCATTTGGAATATAAGTGTGTCCCACAGAAAACATAAGGGGTAAAACAAAAATCTTGGTTTTGCCAAGCCGCCCGATTTCATGTGTAGTCCTTGTAGATCTGCTGCATCCATTGAGAGTGGGGGTTTTAAAAATAAGATATTTCTGCGTTACTGTTAAAGTTTTATGCATGTGTTTTGTTTACACATTCTACACGTGCATTTAAACAGCGAAAGCAAAAGGTTTGAAAGATGAACCATGTAATGAATCAATCACATTATAATATTGCCCAACATTCCAAAATTTAACAGTTTAGAACACTTTACGCAGAAAAAAATGCTGTGTTAAACATGTTATAACCATATTGCCAAAGAAAAAGCATTAATTATTTCTATTGATAATTCATATCATTTTCTATTTTCCGAAGGCATTGTATAATTACTCTTAGTATAATTGCTAAATTTTTTTAATAAATCCTCTTTTATTTTAGAAATCTTGTGAAGGAAAAAAGCAACAATTCTTTCTTATTCAAAAAGTTGGGATATTACATTTCAAGTAGATTTATACTAAGTATATGGTGTCATTTCTTAACACACCAACCCCCAACACCCACCCACTCGGATCTCTTTCTTTAGTGCAAGTTAAACATAAAATACTTACGCTGGTGATGAAAGAAAATTAAGTAGCACGGTTGAAATGTGTCAAAAACAAAAAGTATCATATGACATTAAGCTTCACTTTCTCTCTTGATTGAATCTTTAATGAATTGATATCAGTTTATGTGACCACTTTTCATCTCATATTTTCATTGTGAGAAGCTGGAAAACAAGGGCTATTCGAGACAGTGCATTAAAAAAAATGAATGGCAAAGAATCAGTTAAACTAGAGTGAAATGAAACGCTTAATTAAAGCTACATAAAAAGATAAGAATCCCAAAGAAATATTCACTGAAATATGTGAAAATTTACAACAACCAGTGTCTGTGTTATAGACACAAGTGGAGTATGTGGATTTCAATTAATAAAAATAATATAATGGGCAGGTGGATTTCAATGAACAAAATTGATATAATTGGCATCAAAAATGGATAACGTCCTTGGCGACAAGGACTTACAACAACCAATGTTCTGTTTGCCAAAATTCAACAAATTTTCACTTATGATGTTTGATTGACTTTGAGACACATAGCAAATTTGATAGGCATCAATTTGAGGGTAGTTCACACTATTTTATAGAAACATTTGACAGTAAAAAAGCTTAGTACTCAATGGTCACCCAATGTTTTGAAAAATGAGTGAAAACTACAGCGTGTAAAACTATGTAAACAATTATTTTTTTAAAAAATCGGAGAAGATCTAAAAGAATTGCAAGAGGATAAAGACAGTTTAATATGCCACTTTCTTAAATATCAGTGGTCATGTTTTTTAAATTCTTATTCGGGGAGGCAGTTCAATTTCTGGAGAGAAATAGAAAACAAACTTTTTGCAAAAAAAACAAAACACAAAAGGTTTATGAGAGGAAGGAACCAGAATCAGGAATCCACCACATTAAATTTCTTCATGACAGCGTCCAAACCCACACTCCCTAAAGAGTAAAGGTGTTTTGGGGATAAACAGAAAGGTTGATGTTTTGTCACATCAACAATATTCGCCAGATATATCCCCCTTCGACTTGGTTCATTTTCCAAACTTGATTGAAAAACATCTTTGAGAAAGAAGAAACAAGTCCAGAAAATAATAGGATCTACCATATTTCAGTATACGAAGGGCCATACTCCAAAATGAGTTATAAAAACAATCAGAAATTGGGAAAATATATTACGGACATGTGTTTTAATCCAAATAGAATATTTAAGTTAAATCATTAAGACTAAATTAAAGGCGTCTTTTGCTTCTTTCCGAGACTGAAGATATTATTTATTGAACTCCTTATCTTCTCCTTGCTCCGGAGGACGCATGAGGCCGTTCAACAAAGAACGCCACTTACGGCGGTCACTTGCAACAACCTGCCCCTCCTTCCAGCTGTCCAAGCCCATTTCTTCCCTTTCTCTCTCAACAGAGCGTCGCCAGGTGTTCTTTGGCCGTCGTCTTTGTCTCTTTTCCTCAGGGGCCCATGTGAGAGCTGTTCTAACGTGTGAATTCTCTTCCCTTCGGAGGATATGGCCTATCCATCTCCATCTCTTTCTTTTGATGGTGCTTGGTAGAGGTATGGATCTCGTCCTTTCATATAGCTGTTGGTTAGTTATCTTTTCGGGCCAGTGTATTTTAAGGATCCTAGCTCCTAAGGCATTTTCGATGGAACGTATCAAGCTTTTCGTCATCTTTTTTCTGTTGTTCTGCATAGTTCAGCACAATACAGCAACACAGATAGAACATTTGTGCTGAAGATCTTAAGTTTGGTCTTTGTGCTGTATTGTGCTAACTTCCATACCTTGGCAAGGGATACAAAGGTGGTCCTGGCTAAGCCTAACCTTCTCCCAATATCTGCCTCAGTTCCTCCGGTTTTGTCCATTGTGGCATCCAGGAAGAGAAATGTATCGACCTCCTCTATCTCCTTATCATTTAACCAGATGACATCCTTCTTCTTCCCATTTATCCTCATGCTATTTGTTTTTTCAACATTAATTTTCAGGCCTGTATATTCCGCGACAACATGTAATCTCCTGGTCTTTTCCTGCATGTCGCTGTATTTGCTGGAAATAAGTGCAAGGTCGTCTGCATAATCCAGTCTTGTAAAGTGGACATAAATTTCCAACGTATGTCTCTCTTCTTATTGTTGATATTTCTTATTATCCAGTCTACCACAATGATGAACAGGAACCCAGACATAACTCAACCTTGTCTCACTCATGTCTGTACTTTGAACCAGTCTGTTGTCCTTCCATTCTCTATGACACAACTAGAACTTCCATCGTATAATTTCTTGATGATATCCACATACACGTCCGGAATTCCATACTGCCTTAGTATGTCCCACAGTTTCTCTCTTATTATGCTGTCGAAGGCTTTTTTAAAGTCTATGAAACTGATGAACAGTGGTGCTTGATTGCTTTGAAATATTTCTTAGAATGTAAATCTGTTCTGATGTTCCTTTCCCCCTTCGATATGCTGCTTGCTCTGGTCTTAGTCTGTCCTCTAGTCCATCTCTAATTCTGCCTATCAATACTCTGCAAAATACTTTAGATGGCACTGATAGTAGTGATATTCCCCTATAATTGTCATATATTGTCAGATCTCCTTTCTTAGCTATTTTGACAATGAGCGATCTCTTCCATTCAGTTGGTATTTCTTGCTCACTGATTATTCTGTTGAATAAATTTGTAAGCTCTGATGTTGAATATGATACGCTCTCCCTCAGTAACTCCGCATTGATGTTATCTATGCCAGGACTCTTTGCATTCTTCATTTTTGAATTGCATTTTTAACCTCTTCCTCTCTTATTGGTTTGTGTTAATTTCTTCAATTTTTTTCTCTTGGATGGTGCATCCTTCGAGTAGTTATGTTGTTTTTGTTGGGACATTAAGTACCTCTTCAAAATGTTCTTTCCATCTCTCCAATATTTTTCCATCCTCAATGATTAGTTCACCTTTCTTGGACCTTATGCCACTTGTCCTGTTTCTTTTTTCTCTCACAAAGTTTCTTGGTCATTTGGTAAACTTCACTCAGACGGTTTGTATTTGCTGCATTTTCTGCTTGGTTAGCTATATACATCTTCCAGATTTTTCCTTTAATCAGCTCTTGCTCTTCTCTTCATTTCTTTGTGTTTGATCTTATATTCTTCTCCCTTAATTTTCTTTATTCTCTCTGAATTTGATCTTCCTATTTCTTCCTTTAGTTTTCTTCTTTCATCTATGGCTCTGTAAGTTTCTGCAGTTAGCCAGTCTTTGTGCTTCCTTTTCTTCTGGCCCAGGATCTTTTCTGCTGTTTCGTTATATATTCTTTTACAAGAGTCCATTTTTCATTGATTGTGTTTTCCTCATCAGCCAGCTGCTGAAACCTATTCCTTAGTTCAAGGTGGAAGCCTTTGCTTATTATTATTTCTAATTTTATACCTCACTTTTTAAATAAAGAGGGCCGATTGTTTGTGGTCATTTTTAGACTATATTGATCTTCTTTAAAAGAAGAGTAGACTATACTGTATATTGATCTTCTTTGAAAGAAGAGCTCTAAAAATTTGACTAAAAATGATCTAATTTTAAAACTAAATTAAATTGTATATATATAATTTTTTCTTTGCCAAACGATAGCTGACAGCTGAAGCTATCATATCTACAAAATTAAGTTATACCTGGTTTATTTGTTGACACCCCCAGCCTCCTTAAATTCCGGTGTTAGCCTATTTTAACTATCTGTCCGTGAGTCAGTCACGTTAACTTCCTCCACAAACCTTTCTTAGATTACAGAAAGTATTAAATTGATCATTTGGAATATAATAAAAAGTGTCCCACAGATGATAACATAAGGGACAAAACAAAAATCTTGCCAAGCCGCCCGATTTCAAAGAAAGCAAAAGGTTTGAAATATCAATCATAGAAAAGCAAAAGGTTTGAATATCAATCATGGAATATCATAGATTTTCCGAATGATTCAGCAAAATGCTTTTCATCACTTTACAATCTTGTCCAACATTCCAAAAAAGAACAGTTTAGAACAATTTACGCAGGAAAATGCCGTGTTAAAACCATATTGCCTATGTAAAATCATTTATGCATCAATTATTACTAATGAATAATAATCATTTATATCATTCTCGATTTTTCCGAAGGCATTGTATAATTACACTGTTAAATTATTTCTTGAAATTAAGATAAAATCGGAAAATTTTAGAAGCGGGACTAGAAAGAGAAAGCATCCGCCGTAAGCCCTATCTATAAATGGATCATGTAGACGGATTATGTCAAATTTAGTACAGTGAAACCTGTCTAATCCGACATGCACTGGAAGACGAATTTTGTTTCGGAATAGACAGGGTGTCGGATTACACAGTGTAAAGAAACATGGATTTAACGGTAAAATGGGAACGAAATTAAAAGACGGAATTCACAATGTGTCTGATTACACAATTGTCAGGTTAGACAGTTTTCACTATACGTACAAAACAATATCTTACATTTTATTTCAATCAAAATACGACCCAGTATTACTCTTGCTATCAGGTCCGTTGTATTCGCTGGCAAAGTATCTAATAATTGCTCAATTAAAACAAGATTGTTAAAATACCTGTGACGTCAAGATATTTGTCAGTAACCTGTCTCGGTTTATAAAATTGGATGTACTCAGAGCACGTCCTCGTGTATCGAATAATTTGGGAGACGATTACCCGATGTGTAAGTGATAGCAAAATATTACTTAAAAATTATGGAAAATAACGATTAACAGTATTTTGCTAAAGTTTCATTTTTGGGGATTTTTAAAATAACCAAAAATTATTATTTTCAACTATGCTTTTATGTTTACTACTAAAACAGCATATCAACAAATATTTTAAGATTAATTGGGATAAGCGGTTTTCTCCATGTTGGACACATCCTGTGCGTATTTTGCTATATGCGTATGTGCGTAAGCAACTGTTTTTATGGTGATAAAAATGTTATTGCAATATTCTGGTTTATAGGGGATAATGACCGAACAAATACAAACTTTAATATAATATTTTACTTCAAAGAGATTTTGATTAAGTGTAGGTCAGTTTATATCTATAAACACATTATTATATTGTTTACTGCCCTTTACAAGGCGTCATGAACAAAACTACTCGTATATTTTAATTGATCTTGTGAAAACAAATCCTATATTTAGTGAAAAAAGGATCAAAGAAACGTCAAATAAAATTTCAAATAATACGGAGCTGTAGAGAGATGCTTTTACTAATACACCACACAATACAACGAATGGACAGCGAATTAATTCAGTAATGGCTTCAGCTTAAAAAAAGGATTCGTATTTCAGAACTACTATAATCGGGTCAACAACTTTCTCAAAAATTAAAAACATTGTATTTCTATACTAGTGGAGAAGTACCTATTTCAGCAATATAAAGAGATGAATAATTGTGATTTATTCCTCAAAGAAGCATATAATTTCTTAATTTTTTCGTTATGAAAGATGCATTATTTCTTTAAAGCTAGATAAGGTCTATGACATGCCGGGCAGGAGTAGTACACTTAGGCCACATTATCTTTATATGAAGCTGTCCTAAATCCAGAACACTTGACCTAAGAGCCATGAATTTCGCAATTTTAAAAGGGTCCAGTGCTTTATTATTGCAACCAAAGCAGATGTTCAACTGCCACATCTCTGGAGTATTTTTCCAGATATCTTCAGTTTTAATGGTTTAAGCAAAACTCCTCATGCAAATGAAGTACAGGGACCATGAAATTCAAATTTACAATGCCAAATTTGGTTCAAACTGGTTTAATGGTTCAAGAGAAGAAACACAGAAATTGTTCCAATGACAAATAGATAGCACCAGTTCACCAGGGTGCCTTAAGTGATATAAAATGATACATAAATTGATCATTTTGAAAAAAAAAAAAAAGAATTATATAATCCTTCCTTATTTCTTTTTCCGAATTAATTTATCATTTTTGTACAATATCAAAATGAAAAGAAAATGAAGAGACACATTTTTTTATTTTAAATTTGCAGCTTTAAATCTGTCAAATTCACTATCAATACACACTTAATTTACATCAGATTCAACTAAAAAAAAATTATTCAAATAATGAAAAGGATTTCTTTTTTATCAAATTCAATATTTCAGAAGGCATATTGGGCAAAACAGAGAGAATTCTAAGGGTTACCAAAGGATAGAACTATCTCTTATTTCCTGGCCCATCTTGGTTGGAAATAATAACAGAACACACAAGCTCTTGTTTTATGACACATTTATTACAATGAAGATCTTGTAAAATGTTTGAGTTTACTAATATATTTTCAAGCTGTAATGAGAAATGTCCAATTTTTATGAAAAATGGAATCAGATTGTGAACAATGTACAAATATGTGTACACTTTGCTTTTAAGTGAGAAAAATGCTTATAAATGTTGATAAAATATATCTCTGTTGTCTATTTCAGCTACATTTTTTCAACCTTTTCGTCAAAATATTGATTTATAATGATTTTATCTTTAATTCTAAAAAGAAAATCAAAATTATCCCATGATCTCAAAATAAAGTTTCAAATATATAGAGATTACATAACCATTTTTTGCCTTCTTAAACACACCCTGGAGGTCTGTGTCTGACTGAAGCTCTACTACTAAGTACTTATGAAAACTCTACTAGTGTGTACTTATATAAAAGAAGCATCTTAGCATTATCTACATACGTACTGTCTTCTTCAATTCAAACCAAAACTATAGAAAGAGTAGCATTTTAAAAGCATTACAAAGAATCTTTTAGTAGCCATTTGTCAAAATAAAATGGATAAATAGAATCATGTCATGCATTTTAGGGGTAAACTATGACGACTAACGATCAACCTGTTTTAAATTGACACAGATACCTTGCCGAGAAATATTCGCGATTTTTTGAATAAAAGTTGGTTTACAGTATTTCGGTTTGGTTTACCTGTGCACCTTGCCTTACTGAAAACAATTCAAAACTACAGGGAGGTGTAACATTTTAAAATAGTGATAGACCTACAAACAGACAAGCAAAAAAAAGAACACCTTACTAAAGTATAAGCTCATCTGATCTCTGACCAATAGAACTAGAAACATGAGCATTTCTAATGTAAAAAATGTCAATCTGCCACATTACACTTTGTAGTGAACCTTAAAAATACAAGAAAAACCTTTTCCCTTCAACTTTTTGTGGTAAATTTTCATGTCCTCCAGATAATGGACAGTTCCTGTTCTTAAAACATTTACAACAACAAAACACAGTGGTCCTTATTATAGGATGTAATCCAGTTCATATCGGATGTAGTTATTTTTCAGATCGTTAGGAACTCTGGGATAGGCGGGTATCATCCCGTCCTGGGCACCAATGTATACCGTGTTGTACACTTTCCAGTACACATCTCTCACTTTTCGGGCTGGATGGAAAAGACCCTGAAATTATACACAGAGATGTGTGTATCATATCAAAGGAATTCAAATCAGTAAATGAAATAAAGTCTTTTTCCTTAACTCAATGCATTATTTAATAGCTTGTTTAACATTAAATTAGTAAATCACTTAAACAAAAGATTAAAAATTTTCCTTTGATAATTGTCATTAAAAATTGAAATGAAATTTTTCATTAAAATATTTCTGCTTCTACATTATGTTCAGGATTTATTTACTGTAGTGTACTGTGAATTTATTTAATTACCTGTAAAGCATACTGTAAAATCTTTGATGGCCCCACTCCCACTCTCATTCCTTCAATGGATCCCATAAATGCCTGTACAACATGAGGGGAGGTCTCAAAGATGTTTGGCCACACGTAGTTCAGCATGTGAGTGAGAGCATCTTCACACCCGAAGCCGAAAACCCCAAGGGCTATGTGCTGAATGGCTGCCATGGAGGTCTGTCTGTGCACTAAATCTCTGTAAGTTCAAAGAAAATGTAACAATAAATATGCAGAAATCTTTTAGTCCCTTTTAGTTAAATTATTGTTTAAATCATGTCTTGTCCAGTTTACTGTTTACAATGGCAATTATCTATGGCACTAGTGGTGTCAAAATTAGACAAAATTTTACTGTTCTATGGCACTAGTGGTGTCAAAATTAGACAAAATTTTAGTTTTCAAATTTTTTGCAAATTTTCAAACCAACTATTAATTCTAATAATGACCCAAATAAAAAACTCTCTATAAATATAATGCTAAATAAAAGTTATTATTCGTGAGTTAAAGTTCTTACAAAATTTTTATTTCTCGCTTGTGAATAAAAGTTAGTTTACAGTAAAAACCATTGAAGTGATACCCTTACCTGTCCATCAAAGCATCTTCCAGAAGTGGAGCCACAGCATAAATATAATCTTTCCCCATTTCTCCGATATATTCAAACATGAAGGACAAGGATTTTAGCACTCCATTCTGAACATTCAGTTCCGGCACTCGATACTCGTTCATTAAAGCTGGGAGCACTGTGAAGGGTGAACAGGTCTCTGCTACTATTGCTATGGCGACAGTGGTACACACTCTGTTTTGTCGCTCTTGAACTTTCAGATTGTTAAGCAATGTGGCCAATACATCATGGGGACTGAAAATAAACAAAGGTACATGTAATTGTAAATAATTCCTATTTCAAGAGATGAAATTTCTCATGAAAGAATCTTAGTTTTTTTCTTAATTAATAACGGATTTTTATTGATAATACCTAAAGTTCAGAACTGTACAACTTCATAGCATAGGAGTTTTATTTGAAATACAACTAAATATTACATAACAGGTAACACAAATTTTAAACAAATTTACATGTTCTGACACTCACCCGATAGCTTTGGCGATGTAACCAAAAGTATTGACAGTAGCCCTGCGGATAGCCTTCTTGTGAGCCTTGAGTAATTCCAGCAATTCAAAACAGATTCTCATCCACTCCCGGGCTGAGACATACTCCGCCCCTCGGTCTGCGATCCTCCCCACTAGATCTATACAATTCTCCTGTACCTTCTCATGTCTGTAAACAAAAAAAAAAACATCAACACTGATGGCAGATTTCTTGTTCTTTAAAACTAAATTCAGACTTTTTTTTTTACATATCATCATCTTATCCACAAATGTACAATCTATTTGACAATTTATTTTGTCAAAACATTTATTCATTGAACCCTCTACATATCTGAGTTACCCATGAAATAATTTCCCCAAAACCAACAAATGTTTGCCTGATGGCCTGCCCATGAACAATGAACCCCATGAATTAATATGATTCCACAGTAATCAGTCCACCATAATCTAGCGAAGTTTTAATGACAAGGGATTTATCATTATAAAAAAAAGTAAACTCCATTATATGGCTGGCTTCATATTGAGAATTCACTAGATCTCTTGGTGGCTCAATTTCAGAGGAATTCATCCACAAATTGACATCCTCAACAAATTAATAAACCATGGTTACAATATGTCCTTTTGTGGGTGTAAGTGAATACAAGAAATTACATCTCGATGAACCTGTAAAATTTAAGCAATCCTCCAAAAATTGGCCCCCAAGAATTTTAATGACTCCACAGAACTGACCTGTTTTTTAGGATGGGGGTTAGACGTGGCAGTAGGTCCTTGATGGGGGGAGTCATTTTAGTCATTCCTATGACGTTCACAATCCCCTTGAGGGCCCCAAGAATGCTTCCCAGGACCTCGGGGTACTCCTCTCCCAGATACTCATACAGCACCACCCCCAAATGTCCCATCAGTCGCTCCTATAAATACAAAACAAGTTCACTTTAATCCACATCATAGGTTACAAATTTTACAAACAGATTTTATCATTTCAAATACAAAAGCCTAATAGCTTTACGTATCAAAAATTAAACGCTTTAATTTTTTTGGTGCTGAAATCCAATGAACAATTCACTGCAATTCAAATAAGTCAAAATTAGCTCTCAGAGAATCTTACAAGTGAACAGATCCTGTCATTACATAATGCAGTCAATACATCACAACTTATGGTTTTTTCAAAGCTAATTATCCAGGAATTTTTTCAACATGGGCAACACATTGAATGTTGGTGAAATTTACTCCTACATTTACCGGTACTTATCAATACAAACTGTAACATAATTTTGCCCTCATAGATACACCTCTCGTAGTTACAAAGTTAACGAAGGCCAAAAATTAAAATCCTTAATTAGTGACCTACCTCTTGACATGTTTTCATGACCACCGCTATCCTTGAGATGAGATCCGCGGCCTGTTGTCGGACTTTGGCCGACTTGTTATTGAGACGCCACAGGATGGTACCACAGATCTGAGGAAGGTAGGGCTTCACTCTCTTACCCAGGGCATTCACCACCGTACCAAAACCATTCAACATCACCACATCCTGTCATTAAATAATAGAGTCAATATATGGCAATTTTTTTTTTAAGCAAATTATTTCAAAGCTATTATTCAGGAAAGTTTTCATAGATCCTCTTATACACTGTAAATAATTTTTCAACTTAAATACTGCACAAATCAATGAAAGAAATTCTTGTTTTGTTTTTATATTTCCAAATATTCTGAAAAGCTTAATAATTTGCCATTTTTCAAACTATATGTATCTAGACAAAAACATCCATTATCATTTTCTTTCTTTATTCATTGGAATGCCCCCCCCCCTCCACTCTTCTCTACTACCACCCCTTCCCTTTACTCCCCTTACCTCTGTGGTCTGTTCCTGGAAGGCGTACAGGATACCGTCGATCAGCTGTTCCTCCAGACGTGAGTCAATGTCAGCAGCCCCGAGATTTCCCATGATTTTCTCGATCGTCTCCATCACCATCTTCCTGTACTGCTCAGCTTCGTCCTTCAGGTCGTCCACGATTCTCTGGATAATCTCAGCCGCCCCTACCTTGTTGGCTATTTCTACAGTTGTGTCTACCAGCTAAAATACAGGATTTTTTTAATTTTCTGGTCAGTTAAATTTTCTGAATTGCTTGAATTTTCACAAAAAAGCTTTAAAAATGTTTCCCCACAAAACTACGTTTATCTGCATATAACTGAAAAAAAATCATTTTTTGTAAAGTTATTTGCTTTTTTTTGGTTTACTTTTAGAAAACAAACTTTGAGGAAAAAAAACTACATGTATATCTTTAAGTTTTCTTGCAAAACAACATTTATATGCACATTATTAAAGAATTGCCTTTTTTTTCACTTTTTTTTTTGGGCCTTTATGGTTTATTTATAGCAAATATATATACACTTTTAAAAAAACAGTGTCTCTAAATGTCTTGAAAATAAAGACAAACCTGTCTATAATTTCTTCTGTCCAGGGCCATTCTCTGGTTCCAGAAATGTTTAAAGAAAGGAGGCAGAATTTCGTCCTTGATGTACTGTGGCTCCACACCGTCTGTAGCACAACACTGTTTCACCACCTACAGAAAAACGCAGAACATATTAGGCTACTGGAATATATACAACACTGCTTCACCACCTACAGGGAAACAGACAATGAATTAGACAACTTAAAACCAAATGATTATGCGTTATCAGGGAAACTTGTCATCAGTGGGAAAAATTCAAAATTTGTGAAATAAACAGAAACAGAGAAATCTCCCTTTTAAGGACAGACGATACAAATTTATGTCAAAAAATTTGAAAATAACAACTTGGGTCATGTTTAAATGAGTGAAAGCAATAAGTTTCATCACGTAGTTTTTAATATTTTATTCAAAATTTCACAAAAATGGGATTTGAAGTGAAAAATATTTGTATAAATTAATAAGGATGGTTTCATAAGCGTATACTTTTGAACATCACAGTAGGTTTACAATTCCTTTACATTCTAGAAATTTGTTATTTGCATCATTTACTATGAAATTAGGCCAAAAAATATATACCGATCCAGGCAACCATTTTTTCTTTTGTTTCATATGTCCTTAACACAGCTATGACTAAGTGATATTAGAATTGCTTGCTATCAGAGATATAAAAGAACTCAAAAAGGTTGTTTGCTTTATAGAATTGATTCAGATTCACTAGCATCAACAATTCTACTTATCCTTCTTTCATCAACAAGCACAAATCTTAGTTTTTTCTACAAGGGACAAGTTTTCACCTTGAGAACGATCTTCTTCATTTCCTCATCAGGTGACTGGAACTCTCTCTTTAAGATCAACATGACTTCTCTGGTGTAGTAGTTGGCGTACTCAGCGTCCATGAGGGGGATCAAGTAACCAATAGCCTTCAGGAAGGCCGCCAGACCCTGAAGAATGCAAATGTTTAATAAAATGTCATAATTAATCCAGGCATGGATGTACACTGTTCATGTGCATGTATTTACTCAGTCTGGTTCTGACGTTATGACAGTAATCAATGTCTTGTACTTGAATGAGGAAGAAAAGACAATTTTTATGTAAGCCAAAGGAAAAATATTATCTGGAAAAATTAACATATTAAAAATATATTGGAGACGTGAAAAGAAAACATTCATTTGTAACAAAGTGGCTTTTATAAATGGCCTGATTTAATTCCCAAAGATGTTTAACTTTTCTCGCTTAATTTTCTCAAATGTTTAAAGTCAGGGCTCCCACTGGACCGAAAATATTTTTCGCCACTTTTCGCGACAAAAGGAAATGCATACTTACATCTGATTTCTTGACAATGCAATGCACTTTATGTTATTCTTTTTTATGTTTATCTGACACAGACATTATTTTAAAATTGTACTGTTTAAAGCTTTAATTATGGTAGTCATCCATTTAAAAAAAAAACTAATGTTGGAATTATACAATTAATTTGATATTGAATGATATCAGCCAACTCTTGACAAAAAAATGTCCTCTTGTTTATATTTTTTGCCTGGGAAGTGGGGGGGGGGGGGGTACAGACCTAGTAAAAATATGACATTTTTTAAAAATGAAAATTTTCATCATTTCATTAATCAATTGTGAAAAGATGTAATTAAAAAGTAATGAAAATTAGGTTTGAAACTTTATTTTAACAACTTGGACACTCCAGGGTTTAATATGCAAGGTAATGTAATTGCAAATAATTTAGTGTAATTTACTAATTAAAGATAATTCTGTTTCCAAACCAATTTCTTTTTCACTCTTTGTCAGTTTATGGTATATTAATGTACACATTTTTTCAATTTTCATTAGGTAAAATTTGAAGCCATTCTTTATAATTTTCGTCATGTTTCCCTACTTTCGGTTTAATAAAAAACGGTCTACATAGATCCAGATTTTGTTGATAAAAATCTTTTATTTACTAACTTCATCTCCTAATAACACTTTACCCCCCTTGTTTAATCCAAATTAATCCATATTATATTATTTCAAGCAATTTTGTAACCCTTTATTGCTCCAGGCTAGTTACCTAGTCAGCTGTGTTTGTTCAAGCGAGAAGTGATGTAGGTTTCAGTTATCACACCTCTGCTGCATTAAATAAACAAAGAGACTTATCTGTATACATTGAATAAACAAAGGAGCAAACCAGGACTACACAAATTTTGTACATGGTACATCTAAAAAATTCATTTTCGCCACTTATGAATTTCTTTTCGCCACTTTTGAAAAAAAATCGCAATTGGCGACAATGGCGAATCACAGCTCGAGCCCTGGTTTAAAGTGATATAGTTTCCCTTGCCTTGTAAATCTCTTTTTTTATAGGTTTTGCATCATCTGTCCTAAATTTCCTAAAATGTTTTATTTTCTCAAATGTTTACAGTAACACGGTTTCCCTTGCTTTGTAAATCTTTATCATGACCCTACCTTTCCTCTGTGCTGTCTGATACCCTTCCAAAGTGGTTTGAGGACGCTGTCAAACGACTCGATACCATAGGGTGTGGCAGCCTCAGCCAGAGCCGCGAGGGCCAGGGCAGTAATGGTCCGCACCTTCTGTTGTTCATCCACTAACCCTGTACAGTAAAAATATATACAACTTTATTTCTTTCTAATGTTTAGGAATTTACCGTACTTCCATTCCCTTTACTCTTAAATGAGTGTCATTGACAATTTACAAACTCCAGTGTATGAAGTTCTTTATATTGTATATAATTAATTCTTTAGAATTTAACAAAAATTTTAAATCTATCATTCAAAGTTAAAATATATTAACCAAATATTTACTAAATGACTTTCATAACCATATAAGCAGAATTTTTACTGAGGACATTATTAGCTAGGAGGCAGAGATGACTAAAATTGAATATCGCTAAAAATTGTTTTTGTTTACAAAAGCTTCTTTAGTGAGAATTAAAAAAAAAAGCCAAAAATACTTCTCATTAAGGGTACCTGTAAAGTGCGAAATGAAATAGAAACGAAACGAAACGAAACGAAATGAACTGAAACGAAACGAAATCTGCCGAAACGAAACGAAATCTACCGAAACGAAACGAAACCTACCGAAACGAAACGAAATCAAGACGAAACGAAACGAAATCAAAATGAAACCTGCCGAAACGAAACGAAACGAAACAACACTATCAAAATGTTTTGTTTTTTTTTAATCAAGGTACATGTATATAATTATAAATATGTAACTACATGTGGACTTTTTTTTTTACTTCAAATAAAATTCATATACTTCAAACACTTGTTAATATAAAATTTAATTACCGATAAATTATGCTCCCTTCTCAGTCTAATGATGCATTTACGTGTTTGCAAGCTGCAAATATGCACGAGCGTACTATGCATGTATAGTTTCAATATGTGCATTACTTTCTAATTTTTATATCTTACTCTTATTTTCAGTCCTTATTTATATAGATTCAACATATCTATCAAAATTGATGTGTTACATGTAAAGGCTCGTTTATGTACAGGTCGAAATAAAGTCACTGTACTGTTGTATTGCGAATGTCTTAAAACATAGGATAAACCAGAGACTTAGAGTATTTAGTATTCCATTCCAAGGTGTCTGTTTTTTTTTTTGTTCAATTATACATGTAACTCCAACCGAAATCTTGTGTATCCTTTCTACGTACATACGGTCCTATTTTTATCGAGGTAATTTTGGAGGAAGAAAGGAGTGGTTTGCAATAAAGAGGCTTGACCATAGACGTCTTAAACGATTTAACTGACAAGTAAAAAGTCTCTCGAAGCGAACGATGTCATTTTTAAGTAGGTAAACTATTCAGTAAGATATTAAAACAAGAGGCCCATGGGCCACATCGCTCACCTGAGCACCAAGGGTAGGACTAGTATAAAATGGATTTTTATTGTAAAGTTTAAATCCAAAAGTAGTCCCATGACCAATCATGGATTTGCTATTTTTTAGAAAATGATTGAGAAGAAGATTTTTAAAGAATTTTCCTATATATTTCTATGTAAAACTTTGGTCGGCCATTTTGGCCCCGCCCTACCCCCCGGGGGTCATGATTTGAACAAAATTGAATCTACACTACCTGAACATGCTTCCATATAAATATGATGAATAATGGCTTTGTCATTCTTGAGAAGAAGATTTTTAAAGAATTTTCCTATATATCTCTATGTAAAACCTTGGTAGACCATTTTGGCCCCGCCCTACCCCCCGGGGGTCATGATTTGAACAAACTTGAATCTACACTACCTGAGCATGCTTCCATATATTTATGATGAATTATGGCTTCGACATTCTTGAGAAGAAGATTTTTAAAGAATTTTCCTATATATTTCTATGTAAAACCTTGGTCGGCCATTTTGGCCCCGCCCTACCCCCGGGGGTCATGATTTGAACAAACTTGAATCTACACTACCTGAACATGCTTCCATATAAATATGATGAATTATCGCTTTGTCATTCTTGAGAAGAAGATTTTTAAAGAATTTTCCTATATATTTCTATGTAAAACTTTGGTCGGCCATTTTGGCCCCGCCCTACCCCCGGGAGTCACGATTTGAACAAACTTGAATCTACACTACCTGAGCATGCTTCCACATATATATGATGAATTATGGCTTCGTCCTCTTTGAGAAGAAGATTTTTAAAGAATTTTCCTATATATTTCTATGTAAAACTTTGGTCGGCCATTTTGGCCCCGCCCTACCCCCGGGGGTCATGATTTGAACAAACTTGAATCTACACTACCTGAGGATGTTTCCCCATAAGTTTCATCTTTCCTGGCACAGTGGTTCTTGAGAAGAAGATTTTTAAAATATATCACTAAATTTTCATTAATTCCCAATTATCTCCCCTTGAATAAGGGCGTGGCCCTTCATTAGAACAAACTTGAATCCCCTTCACCCAAGGATACTTTGTGGCAAGTTTGGTTGAAATTGGCCCAGCGGTTCTTGAGAAGAAGTCGAAAATGTGAAAAGTTTACAGACAGACAGACGGACAGACAGACAGCTAGACAGACAGACAGACAGACAGACTGACAGACGGACGCCGGACAAAATGTGATCAGAAAAGCTCACTTGAGCCTTCGGCTCAGGTGAGCTAAAAATATGACATAGGTGTCGGAAGCGGCGGGGAGGAGGGGTTAGCCTCCATCCCCACTTTCTTGCAAAGATATATATTACATAGGCATTGAAAACTGGGGTTTACCTTTTTGTTGGTTAAGCCCCCCCCCCCAACTTTCAATTTCCTTCCGACGCCTATGTAGGAACTTGAAGCAAAACAATTGCCTGTGGTGCTTGAACTATATAAATTTCATATGAAGTAAAAATAGACCATATAAACATTCTAAAAGTTTTGTTTCGTTTCGTTTCGGCAGGTTTCGTTTTGATTTCATTTCGTTTCGTCTTGATTTCGTTTCGTTTTGCGGTAGGTTTCGTTTCGTTTCGGTAGATTTCGTTTCGTTTCGGCAGATTTCGTTTCGTTTGTATTTCGTTTCGCACTTTACAGGTACCCTCTCATTAAGACTAAAATACCAATTTTTAAGGAGATATCTCCAAACTTGTGTCTCATTAAATTTCCACTTATGCAGTTATCTGAATCAATAGTCAGACCTACCATGTTCAATAATCTCAACCAAGTTCTTCAGATGAGGCAGGATAGCACAGCCCATGAGGATAGCTATCTGCTGAACGATCTTAATTCCTGTGTGTCTGGCCTGCCACGATTTCTTACTCTTACACACAGCCTTCAGGAAAGGCAAAAGGGAAGGAATTCCAAGGGCCGAGGCCACGACAGCGAAGGCTCGGGCCGTCGTGTTACGGACGTATTCATCCATGTTGTCAATGTCAGGTCTCATCGTGGAGATCATTGTTGCTAGACCTGCAGCCTGGAGAATACAAGATAGAGTTTGTCACTTTGTATTCAGAGAAATTGTTGGTCATGTTTAATTTGCACTTTTTGACCCTCATCGTGTGTTCATTTTACAATGCGAAATCAAAGTTTACAGCATTATCTATTTAAACACATCTTTGTCATGACTAAGGAATTTTAAATGGGGCAAAATCATTTGCAAGTGTGGAAGGGTGATAATAACACAAGGCAAAAATATCTCTGTATACAAAACACAAAAGTTCACAAAATCAACCAAAAAATTTGTAAAACAAGACAAAAAGACTTTCTAATCGGCATTCTCTTTTATATTCAGATAAGAAAATGATGGGTTTTAGTGAAATTGTTTCATCTACTTCAAAATAAGAGGCAGAAACTATATTACTGTAATAAACATATATGTACATTTCAACAAAAAATACATGTCACGCCAATCTATCCTTTTAGAATTAGGTTTTCTGAAAAAGTCTATATTTCCGAATCATCTTACCTTGGCCAGGTTAGAGATGATCTCTCTCCCTTCCACTCTGGCGTAGTAGTCTTCATCAATAAGCAGCGGCTCAATCACGACCAGAATCTTGTGGACGTAGGGACGAACAAGGTCATCCAGTTTGTACAGAATTCGGTCAATGACCTTGACCAGTAGATGGCGCTCCTGGTCCTCCAGGGTGGGGGACATGAGGAGGGGCAGAATCTGATTAAATAACGGCCCCGCCCCAAACTCCCGAGCTTTGTCTGTGATCTGTCGGAGGGCTGCCTGCAAAATTCAAGGTCATGTGATTTGCTTATTTTTCTTTTATCTCACATTGTTTAGCTAAACTGTTGAACAAATTAAATGTGCATAATTTATTCAAATCTTTATCTTGAATATTAGATGATGTGCATTTTCATCAATTTTTTGTACAGTATAAGGTGTTGAAATTCATTTTTTTAATTCCCCAAGACAAATCAAAATCAGTGCTACCAGGAAATTAGAAATACAGTGCTTCCTTCACATTGCTGGAAGAACGCATTTATAAAGGGTGAACATTTTGATCATTGCTGACTGTACCTTGATTCAGAATAATCACCATTACCGTTATTACATTTACATGTACAACCCTACAGCTTATGACAGTTATATGTAATTTAGATGTACAATCTCTTCACAAGTTATTACATTCACTACTCCTTCACAGCTACGACAGTAACATTTATTTCCCACATCCAGTGACCTACCTTTCTCATAGGAGGTGTTCCATTCTTTATCTTCAGAAGAAGTTTCATAATTTTTCTTTCTTTCTGTTCCTCTGGTGACAGGGTTTCTTCATCTACTTCAACCTGAGGAAAAACAAATATTTACTAATAAATTTTGTTTTCCAAAATGTATGCAGGATGTTTCAGTGTGAGATTAATCTATCAAACAAGCAATTTTTTTGCAGATGGAACAAAAAAGCTAGGCTATTTTTTCTATTTTTTGTCAAACTTCTTATTTATAGAAATCACATTGAAAAGTTATCCAGCCTTTTAATTTTAGTACATCCTCCAGTCTTTCAAATTTAAACTGTGTTATTATGTTTTCAAAACACACACAAGATGTTTCTTTATAAGATTAATCTAGCTGTTATAAAAGGAAATTTCTTAAAGATGGAACAAGAGAACTATTTCTATTTTTTCTCTTAGCTCTTTCACTGGAAAATTATCCAGTCTGTTAATTTCAATAACGCATCTTTCAAACAATGTTACTACACCCACCAGTAGTTTGTCAAAGTACTGCATGTCATCTGGTTTCATCATTGGCAGGTTTCCTTTAGGCTGCATGTCCACAATCTGAGTCTTTGTGTCGGGGGTCTGCATTTTGAAGCCAACGGGGGTACCAGCCATAGGGGTGGGGGTGGCAATCAGCTTCCTGGCCGGGGTCCTAATGGGGATATATCCCGCTGGAGGTTGTAGGACCTAAAAATAGATTTCAAATTTTTTTTTTATTATATGTACTTCCCAGTTCTCTTAGTCGAATCTGTTGAAGTGTCCCAAAAAATGTTCTGATATACATGTAATTATGATAATTCATAAGCTTTGTTGTAAAAGCAATAGAGTACAGTCACCATGAATGGACATTTGCAACATTTTATGGTGTAGGTCAGTCAAAAAATTAATTTCATTGACACAATGGTTTTAAAGCTTAACAAATTGACTGAAGAGAGAACAAAGGAGCCAAACCTTGTATCCAGGTGGGAATAAAGAGTCCAGTTCATCGTCAGACAGTGGTCGATTTCTCTCGTCGATTTCCCTCTGCCAGGTGTAGGCCTGCAGCTGTTCAGGTGTCATTGACATAAGGTGGCCTGGAGTGGGCGTCGCCATCGCCATGGCCTTAGCTCCAGTGGGCGTCGTTCCGCTGGGGGTGATCCCGCCCGGTGTGAAACCACTTGGAGTGGAACCCCCAGGGGTAAATCCACTGGGTGTTGATCCACCTGGTGTTTGGTTACCTGATATCATGACAAATATTGAAAATCACTTTAAGTCATGTGCAATATCACAGGAATTCAGAATTCCGACGGAGATAGAAAAGTTATTTCAACTTATCCAGTATCCATGCCTTCATTTACATGTAGTTAGAAATTAAGAGAAAATTGACTCTAAAAATTTTTATTCATATATAAAGCATGTTTAGATTCTAGACTGCTTTTGTTTTACCTGGAGTCATGCTGGGTGTCATGGCACTGGGGGTCATTGAAGGAGTCTGGGCTCCTGGGGTCTCGTCCCACCTGGACCGTCTCTTACTTGCCCCTGGGGTGGGGGTATCTTGAATCAGGTCCCCACCTCTGTCAGTTTTGGGGGTTTCTGCCCAGCCACTACCATGCCCTGGAGTCTCTGTAAATAAAAGTAAAATTTTTAGTCATTCCTCATAGATTATTTTTAAATACAGTTTAACTTCAGCATCTTAAACCTGGATATCTTGGACACCGTAATATGAATATATCAAAGTGAGTTGAAAGTTTCAACCCCATTTCCTTATTGAATTTTACCTTAAATATCTGAACCCTTCAGATATCTCCATTTTTTCACGGTTATATTGGGTTTAAGACAATCAGGTTGGACTGTGCATATTTCAATTCTTTGTGTCAACATTCTTTTGATAAAATTTTTTTTATATATCTACCAATAACAGAATTTTTTTCACCAACAAAATGAATGTATTTGAAGGTTCATATGCATTCATGTAGCACATACATGTATGTCTTCTTTTAAAATAAATCTCTCTTACCTCTTTCAGTTCTAGGTGTCTCATCCCATCGATTTCTCCTGGCACTGGGTGTCCCCTGATGACCGGGTGTCCCTGCGTCTCGCCCTGGAGTAACCGCCCCAGGGGTGGCATGTCCAGGGGTGGCGTCCCACATTCTGGTACTCTGTCCGGGGGTAGCACCTGGGGTTTCGGCACCTGTCTTGCGTCCCGGGGTTTCGTCCCAGCGTGTGTTTGAGGGCGTTTCTGCAGACTCCCATGATGTTTTAGATTTCTTGGCCCCTGAATCGTCGGAGGCTTGGTCCCACCTGCGTTTCTTTTTCTCGGCAGCGGCAGCCGATTGTTTCTGTGAATCACTGCCGTTGACCACCCTTAACTCCCCTGCTTTTGCTTTCTTTTTCATTTGTTCTTCATAAGACTCCTGTATACAGAAAACTCAAAATTGATATCTCATTTGATTTTTTCGATATATCACATATTATTTGATATTTTAAATCACTAATCAATATTTTCTACTATAAACATTTTTCACTTCAATGCTGGCAAATATATGGTAAAAGTAAACCACAACGTAAAATTTGCATTTTGATTTCCATCACAATTTTCTGCATGTAAGATATGACCTGACATTAACCATGACAATATATGTTGTCTTTTGTTACGTTTTATGATTAACTACAAAATTATGGATAATTTTCCTATTCTTCTAGAAATAAATTGATTGAATCTCCTGACCTTTTCTCTGTCTAGCTGAGAGCTCATCATGAGCTTGGCAAATGTTCTGTCGTTCACATCGGGGGTTTTGCCGCCTGCAAGTAGAAAGCAGAATGTCACGACAAAGCCGTGACATAAACAATGATAAGTAAACTCCACCAAGTATTTTACATGCACATAAACAAGTTTTCATAGAGTTTGACAATTGCAGATGACAGTTTTTTTTTACTCTGGAATTTTTTATGCTTAGAGATTGGTCATGTATTCAGTGGAAAGGTGAACGACCTCAAAGATCTTTTTTTTATTACTGAAATATGCATCTTTAACCATACTGAAATGGATTCATAAATTTTCTTTCAATAAAACAAATTTTTCTTTTAAATTTTTAAAAAAAAATCTCAATTCAACTTTGTTATCTGCAATCTGTGAAACTTCAATGAAAATATTACATGTACACATGTTGGTCTTCTATAACTGATCAGGGGTTTAAATATATGGTGGCCCAAGGTTTGGGACTTTAAGTTTTATGGACAGTTTATCCAATTTTCACTCTCCAAGCCTGTCAGACTAGGTGTATTCACAGCAAAAAAATGAAGCAAAAAAATCAAGGAAAATTTTTTGAAATGTGTTCCTTACTTTTGAGATGTTTCACAAATCCCCTTTAAGGGAAAATTCAAACCCCCGTTAATACATGTATCTTTATGAATCATTCATCTTTTTTTTTAAATCTTGGTCCAACATATGCACATATCACTATGTCTGTATATAAGATATATCTTGACATCTGTTATACGTACGCTACTGGACCAATCTCAAGGCAGCTCCAGGAAAGGGAGATAAGCATGGCCTAAAATTAGTCGTCCATTTATATTAGTCTATCCATACAAACTGCTACATAAATTGCTCAAGTTCATAAAAAATATATATATGTAGTCTGGTAAAAAATTGTCATATTGCAAAAATTGACTTTATAAAAGATATCAAAAACATCTCTTCAGATATTTGTTTACATTTGCTTCAATAAAAAAAACTTGATTTCTTTATGAAACAAGCACTCCGACTGCAGAGTGATTATTTGTAAACCTCTCTAACTCTTAGACGTCAACAATATCTGCTCATTTCTCCTGAAGAGCTGTCAAAGGAAAGATAACTGCGATTAGTCTCGAGTTTTGTTGAAGGGAAAACTATATACACGTAAGCTAATTAAGACAGTATTTACAGATGTTTTGTTTAGAATAAACATGTCATGCTTGTGTGATAAAAAGCTTAATGAAATGGGGGAAAGAAATGTTACGGAAAAAGAAAGAGATTTTTGACAGACATGTTTAAACTTTACAGAAATTGAACAAAGTAAAATGTACAAAATATTCAACAACAGTATTTCTAAGTGCTCCTAAATGTAAATTTTCAAGCAGGAATTTTCATGTAAAGCTTTCAAAAAATGAAATTTTGAATCCCGGATTACTTAACCCAGGTGAGGATTGTTACAGAAAAAAATATCACAGTTTATAGAAAGAAAACAAAAGTGTTCCATATCATATGACATATTTCATTAATTTCGTAATGCTTTTAAGGATTCAACAACAATTGCATGAATTACCAGGGGCACTCAGTCTTCACCAAATCTTTTTTTCAGCACATGCCCTTCGGACAGGTGTGATCACCAATTACACTAGCCCGAAGAAATATTTACATGCACAAAATTTTATCAAGATATATTATTCTCATTTGCCTTTTCATGCCAAGAAAATGATCTGAAGAAATCCATTCTGTCAATTTATTGTCTCGCCATTTGTTTTCAACCTGGACACTTTTTGTGTCTCCTTTACAGAAGAGTTCCTTAGAAATTGTGGTAAAATAAACTGTCAGTAAAATTTTATTTTGTACTTCATTTAAGATGGAAAATCTAAGACTTTCAAGTACAATTAATGTTATTGGTCTTATTCAATTTGATAATTATGCCTTAGAATTTACATGCCCTTCGGGCTTGTAACTGTGCAATTTCCACATGCCCGCTTCCAATTTTACCAGGTCCCGGGCATCGGACTCCCGGGATTTGTCGAAGACTGGGCACTGATAGCAAGTAGACTTAATCATTATTGTGTATACCCAAGGAATTATAAAAAATTAAATTTTATTCTTTTTTCCCCTAAATAATCAAAATGGTTCCAAAGAATATGCAAAATTCATAATGTCACAAGTTTTTGTTGCAACAAGCAGGTGCCTGGACACATTTAACAATAACAGTTTTGCAGGACTGCACAACTAAACACCTTGTGTAATTTCCCACATAAAGTACTAAAATGACAGGTAAACCCTGCCCTTTTTTCGTCTTCAAGCATTAAATAAGAGTTGAAAAGACTAAAATTGTCAGAAGTAGCATTCAGTTAGTCCAAAACTATGTTTCATTCCCTACATCAATATTCTGCCCATGTTGGTAATTAAGGTTTACCTCTTTCGCTTGAATGTCTTCTTACTTGATGCTTGAAGATTCACTTATATAACACAGAATGCAAACAATGTCACATGGACAAATACTAACCGTCAGCGAAGGGGTCGTAACGATCAGGGGAGATAATCCTGTTCTTCAGCTGTGCCCGATATGTTCCTTCCTTGTCTCGCACTCTCTGGGGTCTGTGTTCTTGCATGGGATCATAGTCCTAAAACAATCATTTATTTTTAAATCTTTATATTATATGAATTAAAAGATTGATTTGAATTTCTACATAGTATATTTACCATGCATAGTTTTTCTCTACTTGTTAACAGATTAATGAACTCTTTTGTGTGTTTTCTCTTTCAGTGATGTAAATATATATAAAATTTTAATAATTACACGTTAAAATATATCAAAGGTGAACAAATTGAATATTTTATATTGTTTGTTATTATTCGCTATATTCTGCATGTGCATACAGTGAATTACTCTAAAACAATGGACATCAGAACCAAATTTCCGATTTGAAATGATAAAGTTTTATTTAGCTTACTTTGTCGTTGAGAGTGTCATTCAGGAAGTTGAGTGGGGCTGTGTAAGATGAGAGTTTTGGTTGAAATGCAGCACTGGAGTCATCTTCATCCTATGTGTAAACAAAAAAAATAAAATATAAACAGAGAGAGTCATCTTCATCCTATAGGAAAACAAACAAACAAAAAATAAACACAGGACATCTTTATCAGTAAAAATGGGTTTGAATGCTTTGCCATTTGTATCATTATTAAAAATTATGTTACAGCATACATATTTCCTTTACATATATTCAAAGTAGGAAGACTTTAAGTTAAAGTCTTCAACACCACAAAAGCACAACAAAAAAATTCCACAATGACTCACATCTCTTTCTTCACTTGCTGCAATGGATGTGTCATATCCAATGAACGATTTCTTTCCAGTGCTATAAATATCTCGATCGTAATGCCCTGCTGATCCCAGACCCACTCTGACTTCTTCATCATCTTCGTCTCGGTCGATTCCTTTTGTTTCAAGAGCTTTCTTTTTATTTTGTATATTTCTTACTTCTTCTTCAATAGCTGCAAAAATAAAAAAATAATAATAAAAGCCCTGAGTATTGAAGATTCACTTGATAACATTAAATTTTCTGTAAATTCTTATCTATGTAAGAAATAAGGTATCATTTTTAACAGGCTGGGACCAATCGCCCAAATGGGATATAATATCCCAAATGGGCTATAAATTTACAGTGCAAAAATTGAAAATTTTTATTTTGGCAATAAATATCATAAATCTGCATCAAAACACTTAAAAAGGAATAATTTTGGTAAGCAACTTTTTCTGCAACCCTACAGTTTGTAAGATTGATCCCCAAGAAGTTAAGGAAGTTCCGAGGGATCAATCTCCTAAACAATGGGCATACAGGAAAACTTGTCAACCAAAAGTTATTCCTTTGTAAGTGTCTTCATGCGGATTTATGATATTTATAGCCAAAATAAAAATTTTCAATTATTGCACTGTAAATTTATAGCCCATTTGGGATATCATATCCCACACAGACTATTATATCCCATTTGGGCAATTGGTCCCAACCTGTTTAAACATCTATCGGGATATAAAAATATGGGTTGCTCACGAGATCAAATTCCATTAAATCTGACCTTGTACCAACTCATATTTATAGGATTATATATGGATTTTTTTTATATATGGATTTTTTTTAATTAACCATTCGGTGCAAAAATTTCACTTGTTTTGCCTACTTAAAAATTTGGGTATGTTAGAAAAAAATAAATCCAAACCTTCACAATCTTCAACCAATCTAAATTCTAAATAGCTTAATTTGGTATATAGCTAGTTGAAACTATATAGCTAATTGTATAGATCAAGATATTGTGCTGCATGTTCGACATGATCATGCTAGCTCATGTTATGCCTCTAAAAAGAGTGTGACTAAAATGGGTAGCGAAACCCGGGCCGGGAATTTCAAAACTGAGAGCCGGGTTTTTGATAATTACGAGATAAATACTCATTCTTTCTTCACGAAATTTACAGACATAGTTTATAAGTATAGGTTTTGCCTTCGCTGAGAATTTTAAGTCAAAATGTTTTGTTTTTCGATGATTATCGATATATGTCCTTTTCCAGGTGACTAAAATGTGATGCAAGCCCGGTTTAAAAACTAAAAATTTTGGCGATTTTAAGCTTAATGCATCGAAAGTGTTTGTGATATTTGCATTTAATGGTTGTTTATTAACTTCAAATAGTTAAATTGTTCAATAATTATGAAATTAAATGTCAATTATTAGGGTTTTTGTCATTTTTCATAGACCCGGGACAGGTCATAACCTGACGTTTGCCCGGGACAGTGAATTTTGAAAAATGAAATCTGCATTGAAAGAAAGAATGTAGATTTTTTTCAGACCCTGACCGAGATACATGTAAGAAATAAATTGGAAAAAATTAATAAAAATATGCAAATAAAAAAAGAGTCATTTATATTTCAATTATATGTCATTATCTGATAAGTATTTCGGAAATAAAAGGTTTTTCACTTGATAACATTAAATTTTCTGTAAATTCCCGGGTGTTCAAAAAATGCGTATATTTTCAATAATCGTGATTTATCACTTCAACAGTTAAATGTTTTAGGTAGTTTAAGTTCAATTTCAAAGATTATATATGAAATAATTGTTTATATATGCCGATTTTTTTTTTAAATCGCCAAAAATTCCGGGCTCACCCATTTTAGTCACTTGGAAAAGGACAATCTGTGATAATCATTAAAAAACACAACATTTTGATCTAAAACTTTCAGCGAAGGCCAATCCTAGAATAATTAACTATGTCCATAACTTTCATGAAGTATATAGCTATTTATTTCGTATATAGGTTTTGTATAGATCAAGATATTGTGCTGCATGTTCGACATGATCATGCTAGCTCATGTTCTGCCTCTAAAAATGCTTTAAACTTTTGCTGATTACGGTATTGACATATATAACCTTTAAATGAATGATTTATTAACAGACTGTATAGCATATCTTCTGTCAATAGAAAGAAATAACATTAAAAGAAGAAAAGTTAAAACATACCTTCCCTAGTTAGGGCTGCCATTTTGTTTACCTTCTTTCTTTATATTCCCAGAATGCATTGCAACGTTGAACCATCGTTTTCTGAACTAATAGGCAAATTAAAAATTAGGGCCAAAATACATTATTTAATTTATATAAAAACACAGTCTATATAAGTTTTCAAAAAATGAAATTAATTTGAAGAATTCGATTAAATTACGGAAATTTCCGAGTTTGACTAAGGTCAAGGTCACGAGAATGGCGACTGTTCGGACTGTCAGTCGTCGATGTAATGGGTTGTTTCGTTGTTTACCGAAAATTACAAATGAAAGTATATCAAACGGGTGAGTAGTTTTATGTCTATTGTACTACTTGTTGGTTTCATTGTAGATATATCAAAATTAAACGCCGCCAATGTCTTTAATTTTCGCAATCAGCTGTGTGTACGCTGTGTCGTTGACCCCATCATTTTTTTTTATTTAAAAGGATAGGGCCTAGTAGATTTATTGACAAGTCCAAACATTTTCAAAGTGTTGCAGTGCATTGATCTGATAAATCTGTGGGCTCGTATAGATATGATAGAAATAAAAATTCTTAAATATACCTTAATTAGATGTCCTGTTTATATTTATGTAACAGTAAGTTATTTGATATTTTTTTTAATATTGAACAGGTCCGGTGTATTTGAAAACAAGTTTTCATTTCTACAAGAGCAAAAATTCAAACATATCCAACCATCCTATATAACACAGAGTAACCGCTATTTATTTAAAATACCAAAAATAACAAGTCCGCTTGCGAAGGGGAAGAAACAGGAATATTCTGAAAGAAGGCTACTAGGGTATGGTATTTTTTTTCTAAGTAGAATGTATGAAAGCAGCTGATTTAGATCATGGCATACTGCAAATGTATTACATTTAGCTGTGTATTCTATTTCTATTTAGCACATTTGGCGGACAGAAGCTTCCGCTAATTCAAGTACAACGCTAAATGTTTCACACGCATTAGCATAAATAAGAAAATCGAGAAATGAGCTAAATCAAATCTACACCAATTTGTTCAAAAATCAATTTCCACTGAATATAATACAATTACAGTACTTTGAAGTTAATAAAGTTCATTTGAGGATACAATGATACATGTATGACGTAGCCAAGCATTAAATTTGTCATGTTAAAAGTCACAAAAGTCATTTAGAGCATGCACACACACACACACACCCCATAAGAGTGATTTTTGCTGATTTTTTTAAATAGCTACAGCATGGATCAGATGTACACAGTGGTAGCAGATGTCCAACATTATAAAGAGTTTGTGCCATGGTGCAAGGAATCTGTAAAATTTGATGAAAGACCTGGATATTGCAAATGTAAATTAGAGGTGGGATTCCCACCTCTCATAGAACGTTATACATCAATAGTTACTTTAGCCAGACCAAATCTAGTAAGGGTAAGTTTGTGTATATAAACTAACTGTCAAGAAGTGATTAGTGTGGGAAAAAATATATAAATTAGCCATGAATTTTTTAAAAAAAAAGACACAAATAAATATTTTTTTTGTTGCTTGATCTTGGAGTTTGAGTTTGCATGCATTTGAGAAACTTTAACCATTGCCATCAGGTACCATATGGATGCATGTGTTTTGACAAACATTTTTTTTTTTGCTAGCATTTATGAAAAAGATAATCTTGATTTTACATTTATTTGCAGTCTGAATGCACAGATGGAAAGTTGTTT